AGAGCTGCCAGTCTGCATAGCTAGGGGCCTCCTTGGAAATACCCAGCGCTCCCTCTCGGTTCTGCGTGGAAAAGCATGGACACGCTGCCCTGGGCTGGCGTGGGGAGAGCTGCAGGCCGGCGCCTGCTGGCAGAGTTCAGGTCCCTGCCCCAAATGCTCCAGGGGCAGTCGGCTGCCGTCCGCAAGATCACGGTTCAATGCGTTTGAATTAGGTCCTGGTTTTATTTAATCGTTTTGCTGGAGTTAAGTTTAACGGGTATGTCCAACTCCCGGTAAAGGTTTTTCAGCTGTTCAATTTCTGATAACGCTACCGTTACTGAAAGGTGGTGGAGAAGGTGCGTTTTAGTTGTCTTATTATCTAAAAATCATTACTGTTTTGCTGCAGATGGCGTAAGCGCACAGGTATCGTCGCCCTCTGGCAGGTGCTCTATTAGCTGCTTCATGAATTTAAATGACATTTAAGATACAGAACTTTGAAAACTAAAGAAGCAATTAGTAACTTTTGATTCATGTCTTAACAGATGGCTAGATTAAATCTGATTAAATCTGATCAATGTTATTTTGAGCAGATAAGGATTTTGATGAAAAAGAGTAAAGAAAAATCAATGCATGCAAAATAGCCAACTAGATTAAAAGAGTAATTAACTTATTGATTAAAACTTTAGTAGTAGATAGTGAACACCTCTCTGAATTCTCTGTTGGCCCTGAAAAAAAAAAAAATCAGAATAACACCTGTGATGTGTTTTCAGGAAGAGTTAAAAATCTGAGCAGCTGTTTCTTGTGCACTGTTCTATATGGGGTAGACTTCAAACTGTTTTCTATTCTGAATAACAGTGCATCTAAATAATGTCTCATAATGAATTAATGCTGACTATTGATATTTTTTCTTTTCTTTTTCTGAAATGAATTTTTCTATTTATTTCGGTCTCCTCCTCCTGTTTTTGACGAGTAATTCTTTTCTACAGATCAGCTGTGCCCTGGAGAAGCTTAAAAGAAGTCATCTAGAAACACAGACAATGGAGCTTTAGATTGAGCTTTAGTTGAAACTATTTTTTTTAGGGTTTGGTTTCAAGAATTGCTTTGGATAAAAACCTTCCCCTTCTCCTTATGACTTTGAAAACATCTTTATTCAATATTATTTTTTTTTCCTATAAGCTTTTGTCAGCAAGAGAAAATAAAGCAGTTTTAGTTTGGGCTTTGTTCAACAAAGGAAATAGGGGGGTAACACTTTAAATGAAGAAGTTTGCTAGAAAAATGTGAATGTGCTTTCTAGAGATGCTTGTGGGGGGGGGGGGGGGAGAGCAGAATTGCTTCTGTCTTTCCCTGATCTTATCGCACAACTTCCTAGGTGTTGGTCATTCTGTGCTGTGTCATCTTGATAAGTGGCATTCACTGTCTTGCTTTTATGTGTAGTGGGTAAGTGTTGCATTGCTTTGCTTGTACTTTTCAAAACACTGAGATTATTTTGAAAATACCTTAAAAGTGATTTAAAAGTTGTAATATCTATTACTTTCTTTTATTGAAGCTTCCTTGTTATAGCTATAGAAGCTACTGAGGTCTGTGTAAGACTATCAGTTTATACTTTGGCCTCAGAAAGGGTACAGTCAGTAGTGCTTTGGTTTAGGCATGCCTCAGTTACTCACATAAGCACCACAGCTTCACCCTTATGAATATCAATGCACTTTACTCCATGGTTTTGTCTTGAAGGCTGGTGGAGTTGCTGGTGTCTGTGTTGACTTGATCCTTTTTCCCCTGGATACTGTAAAAACAAGACTGCAGAGCCCTCAAGGATTTCGGAAGGCTGGTGGTTTTCATGGCATCTATGCTGGTGTCCCTTCCACTGCTATAGGATCCTTTCCAAATGGTAAATTTTCTTTGGATTATGCTTTGTGTTCTTTAAGTGCGAACTTATGTAGTATAGGACATTCATGTCTGTGGCTTCCTCTCCTGCAGGTGACTTTGGATTCTGTGAGTCCATGTCCAGCTGTGAAGAACAGTTTCTAGAATTGTACAGTATTGAACAAACTCTTTGAGCAAGCCTGGAATGAAGGCTGCTGCATGTTTACTCTGAAAAGCAACCCTTACTCCTTGGAAGCGTTCCTGGATATGTCTTATAAGCCTGTCCTTACTTATAGGGGCACCCTAAAGCATTTCCAGGTGCCAAAGAGGGCTTGAGTCTTGCTTGCCCTGGACACTTTTGTCATGACCTGTTCTTTCATGGTATTGGAAATGAATCAAAATTCAAAGTGCTGGAGCACTGGAGGTCTTCGAGCTAATTGCCCTGGGGATGCTATGCCCATCTTTTTCTCCCTAGAAACAACTACAACACTTAAAATGAGAAGATGTCAGGAATACTTTCGAAAGCCAGGCTTTAAAAAAGTAAATGCTTGTAGTCCCTGCAGAGAAAAGGCATCTAAAATTCCTAATGCCTTTGTCCATTTTGTCTTTGTAGGGAGGGATAAAAAAGCAGCAAGCTATGCTGTCAGTAGTAAATGTTAGGAGAACTTTGCTGACAAATCCACTGACACCTTTGGATGTTTGATGTCCTTCATAAGATGATATAAAAAAAATCAGTTCTTTATCTTGTCTGCTCTGTTATCTCCTTTTGAGGTGATAAGCATCTTTTGATTAGCAGAAGGCAATTCACATAGCCCTTCTTTACAATTAAAATCTGTTTGCCCGCAAGACATGTCAGTTTTTTCAGGATTTACATCTTCAAAATCTGAACTCTGGTTTTATCTTTCCAACGTATGACTGAGAACTGAAATTATCTTTAGGAGAGGGAGTAACCCTTAAGGTGTAAGTGCCTTTGTAATTGACTGTAGGAGTGAATAAACACAGCTCATGTTGCTATGCTCAGTTTAGTTTTGTATGTTTCTTGTTCACTGGACAGGACTTTTACGAGTCCTTCAGAAACTTGGAAGAATTTTTCATGGAGCTAAAGTGCAAAATATTAAACTGATGATAGCTACTAAGAAGTTATTAATAACTGCTACTGAAACAGTTTTGCATATTGCAGAGTAGCAGACTTGTATCAAGCACCTTGATGATTTTTGGGTTGTTTTTTTTCTTTTCAGTTAATCAACTGATTTGGTCTGGTTCCCCCCCCAAATAAAGACCATCCATCCAATTCAACCAAACGACCTCCTCTCTACCCTTCCTATCTATGAATATGGAAGATACCTTTATTTTCAAAACGTACTGGACGTTCATGACTAATTAACACATCTTTCCTTACCTCAATACTAAATATGGCTTTAAGTCCTGATGCCTTTGATATTAATGGGAGGTTTGCCAGTGATAGTCAGGAGCATGAACTTCTGAAAGATTTATCCCACAGATTGTGTTGATACTGTTGTACTGTTTTGGGGCAAAAATTTCCTGTTTTCAACTACAGTTGCAGAATAATAGGTGACAAAATCCACCTCTAAATGTTTTTGTGCTAGTTCTGTGATGGAGGAACAGTTAAAATGACTGCATGTATTCTTGAATTTCAGCTGCTGCGTTTTTTATCACCTATGAGAATGTGAAATCCATGCTGCACCATGGCTCTACATCTTACTTGACTCCAGCAACACACATGGTGGCTGCCTGCCTTGGGGAAGTGGTAAGAAATAAGTTCATATATTGTGTGTCTGTGGGAGGAGAGGAAACCATTCAATTATGAAAACTCAGGCTTGGTGTCATATCTTACGTTTTTGGTTGTTGACCATCTTTGTACTTGTGACAGTTCTTATAAAAATATTACTTATTTTTTAATGAAGTGTTGGCACTTGTAAGGATTGTTTTAAAGTGAATAAATCGGTTAGTAACAATTCTTAGTAGGCCTATTGGTTGATCTTGCGAAGTCAGTAGATAGTGGAGATGTGGATTGTTCCAAAACATGAATACATCTTCACATTGTAGTGATTGTGTGTCAGTGTTAACATTCAAGAAAGGCTTTTACAGCCTTTCAGCTTCATGTGGAGTAGTCATGGAAAGGATTTTTATTTTAAAAATAGCCATAAGACATTGATGTTATATGTACAGTAGGTAGGTGTCATCATCTGAAACCCATTCACCTTGACATGTAAGAACCAGTATTAACTAATTAAATAATTATCTCCCTCTCCTTCCCTCCATGCATTCACATTCAGCCAAGACTATTGAACAAAATATTTTATTGTATTTTTAAACAGACTCTCCTAGTGGATGAACCAAGTGATGTGACAGTATAGGGCAACTGGCAGTGGTGTAACTTCACTTGCCAAACAATGTGTAATGCTTTCCTGATGAAGCGTGTCTCAGTGGAGAGTGTCATGGGTAATCTAATGAAGCTTTTTTCCTTGGGATGGACATCTGTATATTTTAGTGACAGCTTCTCACATGGTCTCTGATAGCTGTAGCCCTTAGTTTAGTGTATTGGTTGGGTTATTGCAGGATAAAGATACATATGAATAATGAAAGTAATTTCTATATACAAGCTTTTTGAAAACTCTTTCCCCCCACTTTTCCAAAAAGTTGCTGTGTTTCTTATGCATTAAATCCATTACTTTGTTTATAGCAGGTTCTGGAGCTGCTAGTAATGGCTTGCTTTGCCTAGGTTTATACAGTACCCAGAATAATTGGGACCAAATTCTGCTGAACACTTTAGATGATTATTAAGGAAGATCACAAGAGAAGCCTCTCTTGTTTTGATGCCTAGGTTGCCCTTGCCTTGTTAACAGCATGGACTTTGCAGAAATTGTGTGCGTGGGTGGGTGGTTGTTTTGTTTTATATTGTAAGTTACAAATGAAATAGCATTAACCTATTGAATTTAAGTAACAAAATATCTCTTGCTCTCATGACTTTCCAATCTGGTATATCTAGGCTGTTTCCCTGGCTTACATTGACCGCTCCTTAGAAATCTTTTCTTTTTATTTCTTTGAGAGAAGGAAAAGTTTTCAGTACTAAGGAAATGTCAAGGCTGTATTTGAAAGTGACTTTATATTCCAGTTTAAGATCATAAAATTACTTTCATTGCCAACATGCAATGCCAGGGTGACTGGACAACCTGTAGATCCACAGAGTTGAAAGTTTAGCTCTGGAAGAGCTAGTACGTGACGCTGTAACAGGAACTTCCTGTGCAAATAGACTGTAGCAAGTGTTGAAAGAGAACACTTCTCCGTGTGGTCAAACAAACCAAGACCATTCCTGTCTGATCCAGGCACAAACTTGTCTGTAGGTAAATACTGAAGACGCTTTATCCTAGAAGCTTGAATATTGTGTTTTTTAAAAACTGTTTCTGGGGTTATTTGCAAACAAAGAGCAAGGTTGCTTTGGGTTAGCTGAATCAAATATATTCTGGGTTCAGCAAAATCCTTCTTTCCCCAGATACTCCTCTCGTTTTTAACTGCAGAGTTGGCACTGTGCCTTGGCAGTGTTCCGGGCTGGGTGTTCAGCTGTAAGCAGTCCATTGCTGTTCCTGCCAGCGCTGTCCACCTCCTTTCTCCTGCTTTTGTCACACTGGGTGTTTCCTGGCACTGCAGTGATGAAATGGGGTGCGAATTGCTGTGTCTCCACAAGTTTGGGGGAGGGAAATGGGCTGTATGAAACTAGCTTTTCTGCTCTTTTGCAACTTAAACTTAGCCCATGATGTGGGGCAGAAAAATGTATTGTGTCTGTGGTTCCATATTCTGCTTTTATTAACTGATTTTTTTTCATGTCTTGTGACACTGGCTTCTTTCTCTCCATTACAGGTAGCTGTGTATTTATACTCCCTGTGGTGGCTTAGTTTACTTGCAGGTTGGTCCCAAGTCACCAGGAGTGCAGAGGGATCTATGCCATTTTAGCTTAGCACCAGGTGCCTTGCTATTATAGCAGCATAGCCTAGCTACTTCCCACGGGAAGCAGTTCAGCTCTCCCTGCTCTCTGTGGGTTCAGCTTTGATTCCCAAGTAATTTTTATTCTGTGGAAATGATACTGATTAGATTGAATGGGACTTAGCCAGGGAACTTAATTTAACATACCAAGCACATGAAGATAGGTGAATGCAGCACCAGTACTAACCAGTCTGGTAGTGGTTATAGGCAGGAGTAGATAGAAGGTGATAGATTTAGGGCTGGGTGGGATACATTTGTGTTGCTGCCTCAGGTGGATTCTTTTTGATCTTGATTAGAGCCTGTGCTGTCAGGTTATGACTTCTAACTTAAGGCAATGCATAGAATTTACTTCCATGGAAATTATATAAAGGCTGTTAGAAATCAGCAAGAGATTCTTCACCACTATGGCAATGCATAGCCCTTAAATTCCTTGTTTGCCTGGTATCTTGTGGAACAGGAGATCCAAGAGGTGTTTTAAGCTTCTTGAGTGCTGTTTCAGAATCAAGCAAAATGACGATTAGGCTCATGAAGAGCTGCCAGTGCTCTGCGATAAAATCCACTGAAAAAAAAGTCTCTTTCATGAGTGGGTTATTTATAGTATACCTCTTCTGCCTGTGAGGATTCTGTGAGAAAGCTGTAACTGGGTAATTTAATCATCAGCAGCCAAAGAACAGTTGGCTCCAGATGACTCCTTGCATGATTACAGAACCTGTTGCCCATTTTTTCCAAGGTGGTCTGTAGTCTCGTGACCCTTACAACTCAGGCACTTACTGCTTTCATTTTCAGGCTGACAAACGGAGATGCAGCATAGTTAAGTGAGTTGCTCAGGGCTGTCTTGTGTGCTTGGCTCTTGCTACTCTAAGGCCAGAGAGAGATAGTGATAGCCATTGAAATGGCAATCTGACTTTATGGTGTGGAAACTGTGATATTGTAATAGCCATTTTTCAGCTAATAAGATTCTGCTTTTTTGCTAGCTTTTCTTCTCCCCTTGGTGCGATGGGAGAACTAAGCTCGAAAATAATTGAGATAGGGATTTAGAGATTTGCTACAACAAACCTGTAATAAAAATAGTACAAAGCAAGATCTTCCTACATTTGTTTTATATATTTCTATTGATCAGCTAAGACGTTATATAAACTATTCCAAATTGCATCATGGTGAAAGTTGTAATTATAGTTTTATTGATTAGTCATTAAGTTTTAATCAGGGCATAACCACTGGGACTATTATTTTGTCAGTAGTGGTTTTTTTAATACATACTTTTCCTTCTTTGTACACTTTAATAATTACTATGATATAAATTGCTTTTAAATATGAAATAATAAGCCAAAGACTCTGTCATGTTAGGATTCCCAAGGCATCTTTTTGCATTTCCAAACTGTCTTTTTACAAAACGGAGAAATTAAGATTTAGAGCGAGAAACTGATGTTGGATTTCTCGGTTTGCTGCTCCTTCACTGGTGAGCGTAAATGAGTCAGCTACCTTCTTGTGCATCAATAAAATGTGAGTATGTGCTAAGCTTAAAGGTATGCTAATGCTGACTAATCTGTGTTTTGAATGTGACCTAGTGAAAATAATAAAATAGGTAAAGAGGAAAAAATGCAGAGGTTGCATCAAGATATGTTAAAATATACAGCAGAAATTGGTCAAATGGGAGCTCTTAGTTTTTCCCCCAGCCACTCTTCTGTATTGTTTACAGCCTGTGTAAATTCATGGGAAACATAGTCCCCTGGAACTGGTTTGGTCCAATTTCCCAGTTCCAGGTTAGGAGGCACAAAACAAAGCAGTAAAAAGGCGGTGGCTGTAGCATGGTTTGGGAGGTTTTTTTGATTTTTTTTTTTTCTCCTTTTAGGCAGGAGGAATATAGAAGGCTAATCTCATCTCCCAGAGTGAGATAAAGAGAAGTACATACAAAATCTGACCCTGTTAAACATAATTATTTTGTCCTATAACTGAATCTTGCTGTATAGGGACTCTGAATATACCATAATACATGAAAAACTACTTACAAAGACACAGCCAAAACTCTAGAGGGCAGATACATGGTATATCATTTCATCAGGGAAGAAGCTTGAAGAATACATGAGTTACCGAGGGGGGGAAAACTCTATTATACCACTTGTGTCACTGAAACTTGGAGATAGGAAACACACTTACTGCATCCAGGGCTTTGGAATTTTTCATCTTGACTCTACATTGCCCTGTATGTTTAGTCTGCCTGTATCTTTACAGTGAGCTGCCAAATGTGCTTGGAAAACATGATATCATAGGGAGTGGAAAGGAAAACCAGATGTTCTAAAATTTTACTTTTAATATTCTAAGGCAGTGTAAGTAACTCGGAGAAGGAGCAGTATTTTTAACCTCCTAGTGCCCATTTTAAATAGTAATCAGGTGCGTCTTGCAGATCCAGAGTTAATTGTACAGCTCCAGATTGATTTGTACAGAATTTTTTATGTCAGTTTAATATGACAGTGTATACTATTAATTACAAGGAACTTTGATAAAGAGACGTCCCCCTCTGAGCCTCCCCCACCAGCCTCCCGCAAACATGGTTTTATGCGACAAGTTTAAGATTATCCTGGTTTGACCGATGAGGTTTTCTTCATGAGTGCCAAAATGGTTGGATTCAGCACAGTTAAGTTTTACATCCTGCTGGCTTTTCCGTGGAGGTGAGAATAAAGTTGTTTGGATCACGTTCTAGAGAAGCTAACAGACAACAGCCTTTCCCATCTAATATTTAGATATTGTTATGGTTACGATCTGAGC